CTCAATGATTCAAGGCAGTGAGTTAAATTCTCCTCTTGAGAGTTTGATTTCTCTGACTCTGAGAGTGATGACTCCACTCCCCTGAGGATGCAATTGGTGAGGTGCATATAATGTAGGAGGTCACAGGCAATTAATGGTGTATTGACAGGAATAGTGTCCTAGGAATGACTGCATAGTGACTGCCACTGCAGGATAAATAATTGCCACAGTACCTGGAAGCAAGCTAAAATTATACTTTAAGTATTGTCACTCAAGGCATTTTCCTCTTTCTTCTTAACAGAATAAATAAACTGGGTTCTGGCAATGACTTTGAAGTCTTCTTTCAACGTCTGGGCATTGCTTCAGGCAGAGCACGTTACAGTAAAAATTGGGTAAGTCTGGTCTGTAATGTTGTCCCCCTGTAACTGCCTGAATAATATCACCTGTAATTGAGCCACTTAGACTGCCAGCTTTTTGGATTAGTACAGTTTAGTGTGCCAGAGTGGAGTCCCAGTTCATTACGAGAACGTTATGTGCTTCTACAACACAAATATTTGATAAATAGGAATGGTCAGCTTGGTGTCAGTCAGGCAGCAAGACCTTTCCTCAGGGTAAATGGATGTGCTCAAAATTACCTGTGGTTGATGAAGGCTTATGAGTGGCTTATGATGACTTTTGAATGATTTGTAGTTACTTATGAAGTTTTGAATTCAACATGATTCGTGTTTTATGGAAAAACACAGGTTTGATTCTGGAGCATACTGTGAGATTAGACTAACTGAGAAATGTTTGAGGAGCATTCTGTGCAGTGTGTCCTTTCCCTCTGAAAACCAGGACAAGGCCTATTCAATGCCTTCCACAGATGCTTAATGGTTTTGTTTGGGTTGGTTTGTTTCAGAATGTAGAAAAATACAGCAGCTATCCAGTTTACCACAGTGTCTATGAAACCTATGAAATTGTGGAGAGGTTTTATGATCCCACTTTCAAGAATCATCTGACAGTCGCACAGGTACGGGGAGGGCTGGTGTTTGAATTGGCCAACTCCGCTGTGCTTCCTTTCGACTGTAGAGATTATGCATCAGCTGTGAGCAACTATGCTCACATCATCTATAATTTATCAAGGAATCACGAAGAGGAACTGGCAACATACAATGTATCCTTTGGTATGTATAGTCTTTGTTCACGCTCCTCCTCTGTTAATGCTAGCAGTGCCGTATGTTAATCTCTGTTGTAGTCGTGACCTGGTATTTTCCCTGTGCTGTATGGACAGTAAATAATTTGAAATTTCAATATTTTATCACTAGTCTGCCTGTGTAGAGACCATGCCACTGTCAAGTACAGCTATCACAGCCTCATGTCCTTTGACCTGTGCGTGGTTGACTGATATTGGCAACAAGATATCTTTGTCTGTGTCCCTGAAAGAAAACATCACACTGCTTTGCAGTTTATAGTGTTGGATAATTCTCTGTCCAGTACTGATCATAGGATATTTCAGGTTATAAGGAACCTCAGGAGGTCTCTAGGTCAACCTGCCCAAAGCAGGGTCAGTTCTGATGTCACACGACATCAGCTCAGGGCTTTATCCCATCTGGTCTTGAAAACCACCAAGGACAGACACTACAGAACCCTGCT